GAGGTGCTGGTTGCTAGCCCTGTCTAGTCACTCGCTTTTCTTCCTTTTTAAATTAATAAACAAGTACAACTCTGTGAAAAGGAAACAAAAAATTACATACTATGCTTGCCATATTGCTTCCGTCGACTGCGTTTAAAATTATGCTCACGGCCGACGGTATGAAAATGAAGATTAGCGCCCATACCATTAAATTCATTACAAGAAGAAACCCATGAATGACCCACATGAACTGAAAGTGTAAGGAAGACAGGCATGCCAATCGTTCCGAACTATTCTTTCACTTCTTTAACGAAAATAGAAACTTCTCGAGCTGATATGCTTGCGATAACGAATATGACCTTAAATATATTTCAAAGTCGGCACCGTTTCAAGTCAGTCAGAAACGGAGTTTCAAGGAGATCCGGTATCATCAGTAAGTATAATTCCGCACTCCAAACCGTGTCTGAAAACAGGTCCATGTTCTTCTGTTGCCCACATCAACTATGGGCATCTGTACGATATCGTGTACTTGTAGTATAAACGATTAGTACCGTTTTGTGAGTATCGCTGTGCACGAATGTCAATGGAAAACGGATGACACTGTTGTCATGAGATCAGGCAACACTACATGGATGTACAGTTACGTATTGGAAGAAAAACTGCACTGTATGCGATGTAGTAACATATGAAATCTTCGTTATCGCAATTCTGCGCGGCTCAAAATACCGCAGAGGTCACAAAATAGAAACATACTCTTAGAGAAGTTATGTACCGTTGAACATACTCCGGCAAAAAAACAATGTTTGATTTTATTTACTTATCTAGCATACACAGAATACCCCCTGCTGAAACATCATTTACGATTAACGCAAGGTGATCTACTGGACAGAATGATACAAGATGCATGTAACATTGCAGGCGATTAGCCGTGCTGTGGTCTGATTAAATGCCCATTTAAGAATGGCAAGGGGGCGGTACCATACACCGAGAAGGCAGGTCTTAGAGAGGCATGTACAATTAAATCAGAGGCGTTCACTGCTATGTTTCAGCAAATACTGGATGACTGCATTATGTTGTGCGCTCAACTTAGCTGAAGATGACATAGACAGCACTGAGCTACGAAAAACCTCTCTGCAGCTGTCTGCACTAGTCGGCATTTGACGTAGCCAGCAGCTCTGTCACTTCTGTAATCATCAACTTATGGTCTACTTTATAGACTGCTATTCGTTTCTAGACTTGAACCTTCGCCATCGACAATTATTAACTGAACGCAACGAACATACAAAATGTTTGTACGTCTAACTATTCATAAAATCAGGTATTTTATACCTCATCTATCTAAATATGAAACAGAGAAACGAGAAAAATGCGTACGCTTAAAAGTAAGAAATCCGAATATTGAATCCTTATTAATTTAGAACTTCTTTTATGTGAACGAACGTCACAACGAATAAGGGATTTGTTCTGAATTACCGCATAGTCGTAGGATACAATGGAAAACCAAGGTATGCTACTCTCCTCAGCGCACATGTGATTACCGTGTTTTAGACATGCTTTTCGAACCGATGTACATGACGCAACACATTCAGCTTGGATGCT